ACTGAATGCACTGGTTCCACAAATTTTCCTGGGTGATGTAGAGATGCCAACTTGAGGAACATATTGAAGACTCATATAAAATCATAGAAACAAAATTAAGATGTCTTTAACATATATATTTCTACTAAGAACTTTTCCAAGTTGCCCATTAGAGAAATTGTTTTTTTTTTCTTTCCAATTCTGGACTTTTCTGGTTACATAATGAAGTTTAAGATGTTTTGAAAAATTCAAAACTGAATTAATAAAAGTTAGTGGTTTGTTGTGATGATTTCCATAATTTATTTCCATAATTTACACTCGCCTCTGCATGTAAAAAATAAGTAAAAATGTTTATTGTAGTTACTAATTGGATTACACCATATTAGCCATAAATTTAATTACCAAATATCTGGCACCTAACTTGTTCAAGCATAACATTTAAAATTTTTTTTATTGAATCACAGTGAGATACAGTTACAAAGCTTTCATATTTGAGTTTCAGTCATACAATGATTGAACACCCATCCCTCCACCTGTGTATGTTCTCCATCACCGATGTGCCCAGTATTCCCCCCACCCCCATCCCAAACCTCCCCCTTGCCTCTGTGGCAGACAATTTCTCCCGTACTCTCTCTTACTTTGGGGCATTATGGTTTGCAGTACAGATACTAAGAGACTATCACATTTTGTCCTTTATCTACTTTTAGCACACATCTCCCATCCTGAGTGATCCCTCCAGCTATCATTGACTTAGTGATGCCTTCTCTATTCCAGCTGCCTTCTCCCCCAGTTCATGAGGCAGGTTTCCAACCATGGATCAATATTCCTGGTCCTTGTCTCTACTTTCCTTTGGTGTCAGTCTCATATTACAAGCATAACATTTAAATGACTCAATTTCCAAATTATTTGAAAGAACTTCGTGTTCCTTTCAAGCTATCCTATTGTGACTTGTTTATTAAATCTTTTAAAGCGTACATGCAATAAAACATAGAGGTTAAAACAGTCCATAAATATAAGAGTAGGACTTAGATCATGAAAGAAAGTAGAGAATAAAACAGAAAATGGAAGGAAGCATAAAACCCCACACTATCATGTGTAGTATTTTAATTAAATTTGTGTCTGATTTCATCTCCTTTGTAAACTTTGGTTCCATTTTTAAGGTTTAGATTTTCTTTTTCCCAGTGTAAATTCTATGGATAGTTTGAATTTTATTTATAAAAATACATAAATCAAGGTGGTGATAATAGCAAATGCTTTGGAACTTCGTATGCTACTCCTAAGACAAAGTTTTTGGCATTATAGTCAGTGGTAAATAAAGTTAGCAATACAGAGTCATAATTTGCCTGGCACTGAGCTAATTCCTCATATTTTCTTACTTATCACCATTATATGAGAAAATTTTCCTCGTTTCATGGATAAGGAAACTGATGGATGGGACCTTCATCACTTTAGATTTTCCCCTCTTTTGTTAGGTTTGTGTTTTTATTTTATTCTTATGGATGGAAAGAGGATATTTCTGACTCTGTTTGAAGCAGGTGGCATTCCCTCCCGAGGACATTTGTTTTGAGTGACAAGGAGCCAAATGAAACAGGTGGGACTCGCTTATTTCTCCTGTGTTCTACAAGGTTGCCCAATCTCAGGCCACCTGCATCTTTGGGCAGTTCTGATTAAAGAGCACAGCACCTGGCGCTCTGCAAGGTCACTGCCTGGTGCTCCCTGCCCTGCCCTGGGCACTCGCAGCTTTACGGTCTCTAGACAATCTGTTATCTCTGCTTTGTCCCAGTAACCTTTGGCAACCACAGAAGCAAACAGGTACCTAAAAGCCAAAATTGCCATCTTTTCTTTTTTTCTCTTAATTCTGGGCCACACCCGGCAGTGTTCAGGGTTTATTCCTGGCTCTGTGCTCAGAGATCATGCCTTGGACGTTCTTGGGGAGCATGTCATGCCAGGAATTGAACCCCAGTCGGCAGTGTGCTAACAAGCGCTTTACCCTTGTATGATCACCGATACCCTAGTTGACTCTTGATTTTTTTCCTTTTAAGGCTGATATCAAATCAGCACCACAGGAAGACATTAGCACTTGCGAAGTTTCCTTTAGAGTCAAGCTCAGTGACGGGCTTCTTAGAATTCTGGAACGAAATGATGTGATCACCGTTTCTGTGCTATTTCAACAGAACAGAAATGGGGTTCTTGGATTGACAAATGGTAACAATCACTTATGTGGAGTTGTACACATAACAAGTTCAGTTTCTTCTCTTAATGCCCATCTCAAAAGTAGAAGGGAAAAAAGCCAAAATATTTAGGTTAACTTCTAAGACTCAGGCTTTATATTATTCATTAGAAAGAGCTTCTTGGGACTATTTATGATTCAGAAGTTATGCCCTTGAATAAGGAGTTATTCAAAAGCCAAACTAAAGTGATACGTGACCCAGAGGAAAATGACTTTTATCTTCCCAACAGATTTTGACCAGAGACCCCAGAGACTCAGTAACCTTTGTAAATGTCAACAACACTAAATATAACCGTTCAGAAGAAACTGTAGTAAGAATTGACCGGTGACAACAATCATTGATTAATCCCTATCAGTAATTTATTCCTTTCTAATTAAGAGATCATATCACTTGTCATAAAAGTAAAAAATTACTTTTATGTGGTAAGAACTTCGGATATTGTCTCAGCAACCTTCAGTGATTCAATATAGTCTTTTGTAGGGTGGGGTCGAGGCACCTACAATGCAGGGCAGAGGAGAGGAGGCCGGTGGAAGTGGTACTTGGCTCACCCGCCCAATATTTCAGGGCCAGGGATGGGTTCTACAGTGCTGTTCTAGCCCCGTGGTGCTTTTGGCCATAGGGACAACCGGGGACCTTTTTAGGTGCTGCATTGCTTTGTTAAAGAGAAGTACAGGGCAGTGTTTTGAAGAAACTCTGTTGCACCTTTCACACAGAGATAATCAACAATGCCAGGAATCCAAATTCTTTTCAGCAACGGGATTTCATAACCTGTTGTTGTGAACATCTAGGCAGTGTTTTCTTTTAGGCATATTTGCTGTCCTCTAAAATTAGATTATCATGGATGATGCTAAAAAATCATAATTCTGATGCACATGGACCTTCTTTTGCTCTTACAGCACTAGAGAAGTAATAATAAGGAAACTAGAGGTCCTTATTTTTTATAGCTCTATAACAGTGTAGAAAGAAGAGTACAGTCTCATTTATGATGTCTGAAATGAAGCTCCCACTGTAAAAGACAAACCAGTTTTAATTCTCATAAAAATTTGAGTTTGTTACACAGAAGAAACTTGGAACAGATTCACTGAACTTGATTTCCTTGTTTTTCTTGTACCGACTTCTATTGCAGGTGCAACTTAGACGTTTCCTGATTTTGTACTAAGTAAATCAAAATCCTTAAGACTTATTTTAATAAAGCTTTGCATTCTTTGTCTTTGACAGTAGAGTGTACTAAAGTCATATAGTGTAATTTCAGAAATAAACCCAATAAATCAATAAACTTAGACTGTGGATAATGTGGATACAAGAAAATAATGAAACAGCAATGCGGTGCTCCTGGAATGGTGTTCCCTAGACCAGCGGCACTGCAAGAACCCCAGGACTTGCTGGAAATGCAAATTCATGGGCATATCCTAGACCCAGTGAACTGGAAACACTTAGAGTTCAGTAGGTAGAGTTCAGTTTCTATTTTGGAAAAAAATTTAAAAAACCTCTCTTGAAAATCTCTAGTGCCCTATTTATTTGGAGGAATACTGGGCTATGACCTGCCATGATTCTCAGATTCTGTGTTCTATTCCATATAGAGAAAAAAACCCCTCATAGTAGGGGATGCTCCCAAATAAGCCCAAAAGTCCTGGTATCGCTTTGCTGATATTCAGTGGCCCTGGCCTCTGGTTCAGTACTGTGATTGTGCTGGTGGTTTCCGGGAGGTGCCAGGTCCACACCTAGGGATGCTCAGGACTCTTCAGGAATCTACCCAGAGATATTTGGGAGGCCAGATAGTGCTGGGCATTGAACTCGGGTATGGCTTATCTCCCCGGCCCCAGAGGATTACTTTTTGAGAGTGCTGGAGTATGAGGGAAAGATTTAATCTTCCTGAAATGCTTTGAATGTCTTCTAGATTACTCACATATGGTCCATGCTTTTTCTCTTTACTTTCTTTTGATAGTGCTCTGGGCTTAAGTCTGTGTGTGGTACTGGGAGCCCATGCTTAGTGCTAGGTGTCAAATCTGAGTTGACCATGTACAAAGCAAGTGCTTACCCACTTTCCTTATCTCTCTAGCCCTGGGAAATGGTTTTTACTTTTGTCTGTAAAGTGTCACATGTGGAGCTGTTGTAACTACATATTTAGACTTTTTTTCTCGAAAAGTTAAGCCAGAATTTATGCAGAGTTGAACAGAACTAAATTGCTGTATTAAAACCTATTAAAACCATAGACAGACAGACTACTAACATTTCAGCATTTTTGAGACTATAGTATTTATGGCTTGTAGAATTTGAATTGACCTGCTACCAGGTACCTTTCTTATGAAAATGGAGGGCATTTGGCTCCCAGGTGATAGTAGAAGTGCAGTAACTTTATACACCCAAAGCCTAAACATTGTTGTAGCTGTAATCTCAGTGAAAATAGAACACTTGTTTTGTTTGTTCATTTGTTTTTGTGCTCAGCTCTTATTCCTGGCTCTGTGATCAGGGCTTGTGCTGGGAATCCAACCCGGGACGGCCATGTGCAAGGCCAAGTGCCCTACCTGGCATACGATATATTGCTCTGGCCCCAAATAAAACTTTTAAGTGATATTTTTTGAAGTGTAGCTGGTCATATCCAGAGCTTCATGTGTCAGGCATCATTCTTGAGTATCAGATCATACAGCTGATGCATCTTCAAAAAATCTCCCTGAATACTTTTGATTTCTGCCATCTTTTGGTACTTTCAGCTCCTTCTAACATGAAAACAGAAGTTTTAACATGATAATGGAAGTTTCTTCTGATGATATAAAAGTCAAGCATTCAATATTATTGAATAATATTAGCTTTATTATTATAATAGAATACAGTGTGACATAAAAGTAAGAGCTTTTGCTAAACTCTGTAAAGCAATACATGCACCTGCCATCAACAGTCTCGATTCATGTTTGGTTTTATTGCCACTTCACTGCACGAGGTGCAGTAACATTCACTGTCATCTCTTTAAAAAATTTCCTGGGAGTAAACAGGAACCGTCCCCTATAAGAGTGCATCTTTATTTTCAAGGAAGACTTAACTAGTATTACATGGTTTAGCAAAGCACTGTAGAAAAGCTACATAGAGTTATTTGTCTGTGATCAATTGTGCAATCAATTTATACAATAGAATACTATCCACATTTACTAACAAAGAAATGGTATAAATGCAGTCATTGCATAGCAGAAAGCAGACTAATAAGAAATACTCACATCTAATGTTCAAATACAGACCGAAAATTAGCCATGAGGCGTTTGGAAGATAAAATGCTCTCAATAAACACATCAGGTTAACACCGAGAAAATAACAAGATAAACAACAACACAGAAGTTAGAGCCATATTTGATATCATTTTTCTCTACATGATATCTACACATGAAACCGGAGGATGAAACATTCTTGGTTTAGCCTATCTTCTTCACTTAGCTCATCAAATTTAGCAGGACCAAATCAAACAATAAAGCACATTTAAAAAGAAAAACCAGAGTTTGTTTAGGAAACCACATACTGCGATTTCCTATATCATTGGATAGCAGCTTTTTGAGAAAAATATTTCAAAATGTAGATACAGATCCCAACTTTCTTATTTGGCGGATAGGTTTGTGTTGTAACATTGTAAATGCGTTTAGACCATAACCCGTGGATTCTGGACAGTAATTTCAAATTCTCTGAAACTCTATCAGATGAAAGGAGACTTCAAAAGTACCTTCTGTGTGATTATTTATCTCTTAAACATCTGGGAAGTAATAAAACAGACTAGAATTTTCATAGGAAGTATTAATGAACCTCTTGTAGTTAAAGCCCTTACATAGTATAGCTACAAATGTATTGCTACAGTATAAATGAAATGTAGTAATATTACTTAATAAGAGCTATTTCCTGTACATTTGCATGTAGTTTTATATTTACTGCTACATATGGTACAACACTTATTGAAATAGTAGGTATTAGCAAAGAAAGCAACAATATACAGTTGTTTTTCTAGCTCCCACTAATGCTTTTCCACTTTCTTTCTATGTCATAAGAGCTTAAAATTGGGAAATGCAGCATGACTTGAGCAGATAGAAACTGATTTACTATTGTACACCAGACTACAGCTTGAAATTGTAAGCTTTTTCTATTTAAGTGGACTTTGTACCCATGTATTTAAGTTCCATCTGATTCCTGTGGGCTGTGCTGTTCTTAAATGCAGCCTTTATGTGAGTGTCCTTTGCACTTAACAACATTCTAATAGCTAAGAGCGGTGAGTCTCCACAATATTTCAGGAACATAACTTTTAAAAAAGTAAAAAAAAGTACAACCTCATGCTGTATATTTACAGATATAACGTCTATACTCTATTTTTGTTTACTAGTCATAAATTTCGATCTAAAGCTTTTAGTGTCTTTTTATATAAAATAATACATTCAACAATTCTAGAACTTGCAAAATATTTTGCCCCTCTAAAAAACATCTTCATAATGAGAATAAAGGAATTAGTGGACCCATGTGCTATCTGCAAAGAGATAGAGTAAAAGGAAGAGAATATTTTAAAATCTTTTAACTATTTTGTTTTTAGATTTTTTAATTTGCTGTATGTCTGTTAAAATGTTTCCTCATGTAGTCTAGTGGTCAAAGATCAGATGACAGTAAAGTAGCTTATTTAAAGAATTTTTTTCTCAACTGAATCGAATGCATTCTACAGTAAGAAACGGAATCATTTCCTAGGAAATGTCCACGAATTTTTAAACAACGTTTAACAACAAAATAATGCATTAGGCATTTTTTTTTGAAAAGAGGAAGAATGATGATCTTTAGCTTTTGAAAAGACAGGTTAAAGCTATGCATCAGATTTTAAGACAAAAGTAAAAATGTAAGCACACTGCAGTTTGTGCAATAACGACAGATTTAAATCTTTTTTTGTGAAACATTTATAGTTTATTCTTTTAAACACCTTCACATAAAAATATTTTTAACATATACAGTATATATTTTTTTAGAATATCTGGAAATATATATCTACAAGTGACCTGGAGTTCCTTCTCTTTTCCCTCTCCCTTTCCTCGCGTCTTTGGCCCTACTTCCCTCGGGGTCCCCTCTGGCTGGTTAGTTCCTTCTGTCGCCGTTTGCCCCCTCGGGTTCCCTTCGCTCAGAATCCTGCCTTTCAGCTGTACGCTCAGCACTGCTCTGCTCTGGACTGCTGGACAGGGGTCTGTTGTTCTTGTATGAATTATGGAAATAAGGAAACCTTCAAATTCTTTTTTTTAAGACAGAGGCAATAAAGCAGAAGGGAATCACTGCATTGAGAACAGAAAGCGATCCCCAGTGCGGAAGACTGAACAACAGAAAGCGAACACACGGACCTATTGGTGCGGGGTAGGGGCTTTGAGCTGAGGCTCTCGGTTTAAGTAGGTCGCCCAGTAGACCAAGTTAAAGATTCCGAATAGCAGTGGGAACGCTATTCTTGACAGTCGATCGATTTTGCTGACACTGTTAAAGGTTTTCTTGGGTTCTGGTGGTTTCGTTTCTGGTTTGACTTCTTTGGGTTCTATGGTTGCACTTTTAGCAATGGTGGCCAAGCCGGGGTCCCCCCTCGCCAAATTAGGGGTGTAGCTGGTTGCTGTTGGAGCATAAGTGTTGTTTTTCTTAATGAGAGGATCTTTCACTTTCTTTGGCTGTAGGAGACAGTAAAATATATTTTTTTTTTTAGTAAACTGTGGAAAGCAAGGTTATAAACGGCTGAGCAAGGTGACCTTTACTTTGGAATCCAAACCTGTCTTTTATTTCAAATCTCAGAAATGTAATTTAAGACTATACTGTCGGGATACATTAAAAGTGTAGAAATATACTTGCAAATGTGAGATAAACTGAGAAATTAATATACAGAGTAGTGATTATATCTATACTGTATCAGATACTTGAAAGTTATGAAGAAAGAAAATCTTAATAATTTTCTCATCACAGAAAATAAATGGAAATTATGTGACAGGATGGAAAGGTAGTTAAGCTATGATTATTATCACTAGGCAAAATATAAATCTATTAAATGAGCACATTATAATCTTTAAACTTACACAATGTTTTATGCCCACTACATCTCAAGAAAGCTAGAAAAAAGTGCAGACATGATTTTGAAGGTCTTCTCCCCTCCTCAAGAAGTGGCGTCTACTTTTCCATGTGTCTGGTACAAAATGTGTCTTTGGACTAACACCCAAGGACAGTAGAGACAAGGGTCAGGGGGATTGGTCCATGGTTGGAAGCCTGTCTCAAGTGCTAGGGGTGAGGGCAGTTGGAATAGACAAGGGGTCACTAAGTCCATGACGGTTGGAGGAATTGTTCAGGATGGGAGATGTGTGCTGAAAGTAGAAAAAGGACCAAACAGAATGGCCTCTCAGTATCTATATTGCAAACCATAATGCCCAAAAATAGAGAGAGAAAGAAGAAAAGTGTCTGCCAGCTGGGGGTGGGATGGGGTGAGGGTGGCCGGAGGAATGGTGGGGTATTGGTGGTGGGAAATGTACACTGGTGAAGGGATGTGTGTTGAAACATTGTATGACTGAAACCCAATCATGAAAGCTTTCTAAGTCTTTCTCACAGTGATTCAATAAAAAATTAATTAAAATAACTAACTAAATAAGTAAAATGTGTCGTTGGCATCCTGCACTCATGTAGAAGGCTAACTCAAGGAGACTTTATAGTCTCAGCCTTTACATTATGGAAACACATGCCAACGCTCTATGAAGAAGCCTACCATAAACCAGAGGCCTTGAGAAGTGAAAGGCCAGTCAGCAGAAAACCCTGGACACATAAGAAAGGCCATCATGGAGCTCTCGGCCCTCGAATGCCCCTCTGGGTTAGCTGCACCCATGGGAGTGATCCCAGTTCAGGTTAGTAAAAGTACCGTTAGGTAGCTGCCTGCCCCAATTATGTAGTGGTTGTGTTAGACCATGAGTTTTGGTTCGTCATTACAAATTATGATTTCATTATAATTGCAAGCCAATTACAGTAGTCTCATTTCCCTTCTGTTTCAGGTGGACAAGTGACACACAGGGTTTTCCAGGGCATTCTGCATTGAAGTGTTGTTACTCAGTTATTAGTTGCTTGTCCATTTTATCTGTTTCACGACTGGCCACTGCACCATTCCTTAGGATTTCTATCATATAGATATTTCTGAAAAAAATGTAGTAAATAATTGTTCTCTATTTCTGCCGAACTGTGCTAGTGAACAAAGTGAGTTTCTTCTTTTGTATACACTAACTCAACAGTTTAAAAAGGTTGGGGTTGGAGCGATAGTACAGCTGGTAGGGTGCTTGCCTTGCAAGCGGTTGACCCAGGTTCGAGCCCCAGCACCACCTATGGTCCCCTAGCCTCTACAGGAGGGATCCCTGAGTGCAGAGCCAGGAGTGAGCCCTGCACATTGCCAGGTGTGGCCCCCAAACCAAACCAAACCAAACCAAAACAAAACAAACCAATAAAAACAAATGCCTTGGATACAGCGTCTAGAACCTGGTTATTGAAAATGTGAAAAAATTCTGCACAGATGACCATGATGAACAGAGACCTTCACCCACCGAACTTCATTCTCAGAAAAATTTATATAGTTATTATTGAATCAGGATAAAATATGTCTAAGAGGCTTGCTGCTTTTTACAAAGAACAATAGAAATGTTAAAAGAAAGTTTAAAAATCCATATGTCCTACTTGATAGCAAAGGAAGATGTGGTCAAACTTTATGAAGAGTGACTGAAAACTCAATAATGACTTTTATAAAATTAAAAAAATATTGCTTCTCTGTGGACCAAGTAGCTATTAATAGATCAACAATATTTTATGATATTTTAAAAAAAGATAAGCAGCCACACTAACTTGTACTGAGATGTCAATTTCTCAAACGCAAGAATTCCAATATTAAAGAATGAGACTTTTATTCTATGGAAGAAAGTTGGAAAAGTTGCTGTAGAATGATCCATCTTTTTTGTCTGTTTGTTTTTGGGCCACACTTAGTGGTGCTCAGGGGTTACTTCTGGCTCTGTGTTCAGGGATCACACCTGATGTATGATCACACCTTCAGGGGAGCAGATGGGGAAACTGCGGATCAAACTCGGGTCAGCCACGGGCAAGGCAAGCACCCTATCCACTGTACTGTTTCTCCAGCACCCCAAACACTAATATTTTTTACTGAATAGTTTTATACAGTAGAGAATTTTTACATGATGTGTAACTATGTATTATTAGCCTTGAAGCAGACTTGTATTTTGGAAAAAAATAAAATGTGTGTCCTGTCCTTTATTTCACTAAAAATGGGAGATAAGTGCATTTGGAAAACTCAATTCAGTAAAGGTTAAGAGTTATACACAAACACCCACAATGCGCGTGCATGCAATCGCGCGCGCGCGCGCACACACACACACACACACAGTATGTGCATGTGTGCACACATAATAATTTGTACTAAGTCCAGTCATTCCATTTGACGGGTTTAAAAATATGAACGGTGATTTTATCACAGGACATATTAAATTTTTACCTTTTCTGGAACCACACTTTTGCCGTCCCATGCATAACCTCTCTTGGTGAAATAGTTGACTGTGGCAAACTCGATCAGAGCTGAGAACACAAAGGCATAGCACACTGCAATAAACCAGTCCATGGCAGTTGCATAAGCCACTTTAGGGAGGGAATTTCTGGCGCTAATACTCAGAGTTGTCATGGTGAGCACAGTTGTCACTCCTGCAAAGAAAGAAACACAGTGAATGTGCAGGCTCAAATGACAGAATTTCACCACTGGAAGTCAGCCTACTTGTGTATAAAGGAAAGCCGACAGTACCATAGAGGGGTTAGCTTCTGGTCCATGCCCAATTCTGATTTGGGATGGATTAGTTTTAACTGAAGCCCAGTATAGTTTCCAGTTATTACAATATCAAATGACGATCTGCTGTGGATAGCACAGTTAACTCCTTTAGCTGAATTTGAATATGGTACCCTGGGTAGGAAAGGAATTAATATTCTTCACTTTGCCCAGGTATTTGGAAAAGAAAGCATAGATCTTTACTGCCAAAAATCTGTAAGACATGCCTGAATCCACATTGCTCTTTAATGATTCTACCTATGCACCCTACATTCGTAAGACCCAAACAGTTGTTTCGTAGCACTGATAGATTAATGAATTATGTTAGGATAATAATCTATATTGTGTTAGGATAACAATAAAAATAATTTATTACTGACTCAGTTTTCATGAACTCTTTTGCCACTGGACTAGTTTACATATTAACTCTCCTGCTATTACACTATTTTCCTGGTTCTGAAATAACTACTCGTTTGAAGAAATTATTCAAACATGCATATGAAGTTTTATATAACTAGCTAGGGTCACCCAGCACACAGAAGTAATCAAACAAAAATTTGAAGACGTTGGATTCAAATGTCCATGATTTTTTCCCTCCTGCCAATGCTCCCTGATAGTTCCTACTCCATGAAACTCATCTCTAGTAGTTAAAATTGCCCGTGTTAAAATCAGTTTCAAGTCAATCACTTTTAGTTTATTTAGATAAAATTGTGTGAGTAATGTATAAATGATGAGAAAATTAATGTTAATTTGACTAATTTAATTTAACACTAGCGCTAATGTAAAATTAACAAATTAACAGAGTAAACATTCCTGTGAAGCCACTTAAATATACATAAAAGACAGCTCATAATAAACCAGAGTGGAAGTGTGCGGGGTGGGAAAATCCTGACCTCTGCCATCACTCATCTCAGCCTCCAGCTTATTAACGCAAAGGCCTCCGGTAAGCTAATTAATTTCTACAGACCCCAGTCTACGGCACGGACAGCAGTGACTTAGAACTTGCTTTCTCTACCATCTCCATCATTGCTGAAATTCTAAGAGAGAAGAATTTTTGTGCAGTAATTCACAAGATTTGGATTAATTGTTGTAGTATGGGAAAGCATCTTGAAGGTGATAAATCATAGCCATAAAAGATACCGCCGCCCCTCCTGTCTAAAACTCTTCTCTGATCCCTCCTTCTGATTAAATTTTAGAGAATTACCGGGGTTGCACAGCTAGTAGGTGTCAGATTTTTCTAAGCCATGTTAAGCCATTCAGTATTGCCTATTTTTAATGGATTTCGTGGTAGATGAGCTTTGGGGTTTGTTATTATCTTTCTTTTGTGGTACAAGGGATGAAATCCCGAAATCCAGAAGAGCCTTACACATGCATAGCAAGTATCTCCCACTGAATTTCATTCCTCATTTGAGCTTGATAACTGTATTTGGAAGTCATAGGATTAAAAAGAAACAATGAGATTTTTATTAACTCATATATTTTATACAGATCACACGCCAATTGTACAGAATAGGTTTACTTTGAAGTTGGAAAATGGTGGGACATTATCCATTTTATATAACTTAATGACTAGCTTAAAGAATAGTGACTGGAGACAGCCCTCTATGACATAGCAATATTAACTTCAGTGACTATACAGAGCAACCTAGTTTTAAATCCCAACTCTAGAACTGCTGATAAACCTTGGCGACATTGCTTCACAGTTCTGAGCTTTTGTTTTTTTTTAATGCTTTCCTCATAAATTAATTTTATTAAGTCTAACTCAGAGGTCTAATATGAGTCTTAAATATAATATAAAATATTTAGCAACTATCATTACGCAAAAGGCAAAGTTAAAAATCTATTATTATTGACATCCCCAGTCCTTAATGATATACTCCTGCTATATGTAGTGAATTCCATATTTTTCAAATTTTGGTTTGTATAGTAAACCAGTAGTCAGAATAATTTTAGTTGATATATTTATGCTAAATCCATCTATATTTTAAGCATTTGACAATAATAGTATGTGTATGTGTATGTGTGTGTGTGTGTGTGTGTGTGTGTGTGTGTGTTAGGAAGATAGGTCTTAAGATTTTTCCTATTTAGAAAGAGAAGAAACAACTGATTGAGGATCTATTAAGTTTCAAATATGGATTGACCATTTATATGTTTCATTTTACATTTAATTTTCCAAATAAAACTGTTTTATCTCAGTTCTTTACTATGCAAATGAAGCTTAAAAGATGATTAGTCCTAAAAGTTGGATATTTCTTTTTTTTTTTAGTTGGGTATTTCTGACAGCAAAATTAAATGACCACAGTACCTCCAAATAAGAAAAGGAAAAGGCCAAGAAAATGTTTCCCTAAAGTAAAACACATTTATGTTTCTTGTATCCTGATGCCTTTTAATAACTTGTTACAAAGTGCAACTCCTTTTTTGTATTTTTTTCTTAAAATGCCTATGACCCTCTCAAGTGTCACACATTTCAGGAGCATATGCTGAGTTCAGACTCAAAATAATGAAAACATGTGTACTAAATAAATGGTAAAAGGGTAAAGGCCTTGGAAAATTGTATTTGCTGTTTTATTGAATAGTAGCATTGGAAATATATCATTTGATACACAAAAATACTCGTAGTTATGGTCACCAAAACGACATGGGTTTGCTCTGATATCAGCTTGCTGAAATTTTGAGCATGCATATAAATAAAATCAAACATTTCAAAAATGCTTTGAAGAATTTCCAAGAAGAATGGGAGGATTTGGGGAATTAGAGATATAAAATTTCCATTTGATATTTTTTTTCTTTTATGGCACTGGATCATTCTGTTAAAGTAAAGAGTTACTATTTGCGTTCTGACTTTAAAAAACAATATAAAGTGCTCAATTCTTATACAGTGAGAAGAGAGCATTTTGGCATAAATTCAATCTTCAGTTCTAGTAAGTGGTTTCAGCAGTAGTTAATATTCAACCCTAGTTAATAAAAATGCTAAGGAGGGAAATGAAATGCTCATTTACTCTGCAGCTGGAATCATTTTGGATCTTGATTTAGCTGTATTCCTAAGCTGTTGTCAAAGCAAAGATGTAATGGTTTTCAAGTGGGAAGCACCTTGCTAAGTTGAGAAGAAAGACACTTTCTCTGCATACTTGCAGCGGAGTCTTGTTTTGTTTCTAGGATAACTGATTTTCCATATCTTGCATATTATTAGTGAAGGGTGCAAACATAAGGAATCACTGCATGTGAACAATCCTTAGCTTAGATTATCATTATTTTAAGACTTATGTTCTGTAATAGAGTCTTAAGCATAGTGAGTGCATACTTGATATTTCTTGGGAAAACTTTGATAATCAAACCTTTCATCTATAAATATGTGACTGTTAAATCCAAGTGAATGATGTTGCCCTCGACAGCTCTATCCTATGTCTTGTCACTGCTGCAGATAACACTTTGGTGGTGGAACAGTAGCATTCTGAAGGGCACAGAATCCAGAGAGAGGCCTAGGTCTTACTCCAGGCTCCTGTAACTAGTACCTTCTGATCTTGGCAAGTTATTTAAACTCTCCTTTCTTCACTTTCTAGCTTCTGGAAATAGAGAGACTATGAGTGCAGGAAACGTATTTTAGTGTTAAATGAGATGTAGGTTTATTTCATACAATGTCCTGTCACTGTCCTGTCACTGTCCTCCCATTGTTCATCGATTTGCTCTAGCGGGCCCAGTAACGTCTCCACTGGAGACTTTGTTGTTACTGTGTTTGGCATATCAAATACATCATGAGTAGCTTGCCAGGCTCTGCCGTGCAGGAGAGATACTCTCAGTAGCTTGCTGGGCTCTCCGAGAGGGGCAGAGGAATCGAACTCGGGTCGGCCATGTTGGTTGCGTGCAAGGCAAACTCCCTACCGCTGAGCTATCACTCCAGCCCATTTCATAGAATAGATGCTGATATTAAAAACAATAATGTATAGCACTGTCGTACCATTGTTCATAGATTTGCTCAAATGGGCACCAGAAATGTCTCCATTGTGAGACTTGTTACTCTTTTTTGCATATCGAATACGTCATGGGGAGCTTGCAGGCTCTGCCATCAGGGCAGGACACTTTCAGTAGCTTGCTGGGCTCTCCGAGAGGGACAGAGTAATAATTTATTAAAAGTTCATTGTCTATTTATTCTTTGCCTACATTAGTAGTAATAATATTATAGTAGTATAATAGACTTCAAATAAAAATACATTAATGATTAAATCAATGAATTTACTGAAAGAGAACCTTTGGTTTCTCATTAGAAAAAGTACAATTAAGATTGTGCACCATGATACGTAAAGAAATAGTTCTTTGTATGAAAATGTATAACCTCTAAAATAAATTAGAGAATATTTTAATCATATTTCCTCTAAGATGTTATTGCCTTTAAATAATTTCCCATTAACTTAACTTGAAATATCTAGGGCTTTAAGATCATTTTATAAAAATATTTATCAGTATTCAGAAGTGTATACATTAGGGAAATGAGTTATCTCTGTACTGATGATTATTAATGCATTAGGGGTCATTAGTGACCTCTCCCTAAGTAAGAAACCTCTGTATTAATGTATGCAGAGATAGCACTGATAAAATGTTTAGAAATCCACTGACATAATTATGTATTCTAAATTTGTAATTTAAGTATTAATGTTTCTAAGTGCATGCTTTAAATCTGGTATCATGTACTTAATGCCTGCTTCATTTCATTTGTCTCCCAAAATAACAAAACAAATGTTCATTAATCCCAACTACTTACATGCACTAAGACAGCTTTCTTTTTCAAGAAAAAAAAATAATAATAACATAAAGAGAACAGTAATTCCTTGATGCACTATTGAACTACCTTCATATACATATATACATATATATATATATGCATTTTTAATTCTACTTGCTAGGTCACTGATACAATATAACTTTCCTGTACACACTGGCCTGAATGTCTTAACTGGCACTCACCAAAGACAGTCCTCGCTGGTACAGACTCTCTATTGAGCCAGAAGGAGACTTGTGAGAGAATAACCGTCATTATGCATGGCAGGTATGTTTGAATAACAAAATAGCCAATCTTTCTCTTCAAGTGAAAATGAGTGGTCATAACAACATACTCTCCTGGAGGGTAGAACAAATAATAAGGGTGATCAGTTTGACCTTGAAAGGGCATTCATTAGTGTAGAAATTTTTCATCAGCAGCAAAAGCCAGAATATAACCTTTCCCCACTTGACAGGTGATTCCTGCAGACAATAGCTTTTATCAAGAAAAGTAAGACCAAAATTTGAAGCACACCATGACTCTGAAAATGTGATTGAGATTCCTGGAAGGTAGGGATATCCATCCTTATGTCCTAATCCTGCATTAACATCTGAGTTTATATTTAGACATTGGATGACTGATGGCATACAATAGATATTAGAAGAAATCAGATCCCCTTTTTGTTCGGTGCGGGAATAATCCAACGTGTCTAATGAAACAGCTTTGATTCCAAATCAGGAGAGCGAAGTTCTAGTTTCAACCCATAAAGTAAGCTACTCTCTGACCTTGGGTAACTCAGCTAACTTAGCCTGATCATTAAGATGGTAAAAATGGGACATAATGCCAGGTTTCCCAAAATGTATCGTGAAGGTTTTAAAAACATGCTATGTGCCATTCTTCATGTCTCAACTAGATGCACAAACCAGTTTTTGAGGCTGGGCCAATAACATCTCTATTTCCGACTAGTTTTTGAGCTGTTCCAATTTCTATCCTGGTCTGGAAAAAACAGTACTAACTAGATACTCTCTGTGGTCTTTCTATACTCCAAACTATGATTTTATTCACAGGCTCAAAGCAATAAGCACATTTCCAAAATTGCAGCTTTTAACAAATGGATGACATATTTTCTTAATTACATTTCTTAGGAGGTTTGAGTTTTATTCACATTTATTTATTTATTGTTTTGGGGTCTTATTTCTGGCTCTGTGCTCAGGGATCACTCCAGGCTGTGCCCAGGATATTGTAGTGGTACCAGAGATCAAACCTGGGTTGGCTACTTGCAAGGCCCTACCAGTGTTTTATCTCAGTCCTAGCTTATTCTCTTCGAATAGATGGCTAGCTCTCTCTGTACGGGAAGGAGAGAACAGATATGTCCTAAGAAAATGTCCCTTTCGTATCCATGTTTCTCCTTCTCCTTCCCCATGTACCATTAGTTCCGTATTATCTTTCTGGTCCCTCCTTTTTAGTTTCTCATGCTAAACCATTGATTGTTTCAACCAGAGAGTATCTGTTGAACTCTATGTTACAGGCATGAATCTTAATCTTTCTTCAAGGCAAAGGTCTAAGTTTTTGGTACAGCTCTGTCTTCAGTACCATCCCTCATATTTCCCCCCTCCCTTTCTCTCTTCTCCACGTATCATTTTTGAACAGATTGTTGCCAACGCTACATCTCTAAGTAACTTAGAAATAGTCAAAGTCATGATCTGTATTTCTAAATTTTCGACAACTCATGAATTTTAAGTGGTAGCACCAACTAAATATGTCAGAAAAAAGAAAACCTGGCAGTACTTAACCTCTCCCATAAAACAGAAGAATGACCAGCAGCTAGCAGTGCTACTTCCCTACTTAAGGCTATGCTCTTATTTCACTTGCTGTCCATCTGTTCACTCTGGCTACAAGCTGGGACACATCGCTTGTGTTCTGCAGGACTTCAGAAAGAGAGATTGAGCAGTCACCGGATCAGGCCGGTTTTCATTCAACCTGCGAAGGGTCTCTCAGCCTGACTCTCATCCCTCTGTCACTTCTCTTATTTCTAGATTTCTAGAGCAGGCAATCATTGATATGCTCGTGTCTGTTTTTATTATTGACTGCTATTAATTGAAAGAGCTGTGATTCATTGTCACACACATTGATGATTTTGGTTTTCTTCATAATAGCATCTCATAGTTTTATTACACATATCTATCTGTCACACCAAAATAAACACTAATTAAGACCAGTCTTTGTTTAGCTATAAGGTGACCTTCCATAATCTACACCCTCAGTTTCTGCCTTGTGTGAAAGGGAATGTACTGAGGATTAGAGACATTTGCTCAAATTAACATTTGTAAGCCTCCTTTTTGAAAGTAATGATTTCATTTCTATTTATTTATATATATGTTACATATCTATATATATAGCTTATATGACCTACTAAAGATCACCTGAAGGAAATTATTCAAATTAAAAAAAAGAACACCTATTTTTCCAGAGCTCTACCCAAATGTAGCCTTGTATGAATACAGTCATGTTCTGTTGCAACCATCCACCACACCCACTCAAGTAGAATCCATTATTATTCACAGCCACTCATTCACTCTTGCTCTGCAAAATGTCATCAGCTCAAAGTAAAAATCCATTTTTCATAGAATGTCACAAGTATGACTCCCTATCTACATTCCATTATTGTCTTTTGTTGTCCACACTGTGACATTTGGAGAAGTTTCTGCGAACAGCCAACAATATGATTTGGGAGATCAAGTTCTGTTATATTTATTTTATAAACTGTTCAGTAACAAGAGAAAAATTAGGAAAAAAAATCAATCTTTTAAAAATCATTTTCTTAAACTAAAGAAAATTTCAGATCTTTTGGTCAACTTTCATTATCTTTATTGCAAACAATAATGCTCAAAAGCAGAGAGAAAGAGAGAGAGAGATGGAGAGAGACAGAGAGAGAGAGAGAAAGACACAGAGAGAGAAAGACAGAGAGACAGAGACAGAGGAATGCTTGCCATAGAGGCAGGCTTGGGGGTAGGGGGTGTCAGGAGAGATGTGGGGGTATTAGTGGTGGGAAATGTGCACGGGTGGAGGGATAGGATAGGATAGGTGTTGGAATATTGTATGACTGAATATCATGGAAGTTTTGTAACTGTATCTCATGGTAATTCTGAAAAAAAAATTAAGCCTTTTGGCCAAAAAAAAATGTTTACTTAAAGATGCAAAAATCAGCATCATGTTGTGATACTTTTAAAATGAAAGAAAAACTCAACAACAGAAAGCATCAGTGATGTAAATTTGCTTGAAAGAGTATGCCAAGACATCATGTGTTTATGCACTAAGCATGTCAAATTATTTTTCTCCTATTCAGCTGTCTCGAAGAATTGCAATTCAAATATCCTTGTATATCAGGTAACCCTAAGGAAAACATGCAAATTTGTTGTGACAGTATTTCTGATACATTACAATACAAAATTATGGACAGTGGAAGAAAAGAAGTAGAAATTTAATTTTCTTAAGTAGCATTGAAGGTTTGCTTAGACTTGATTTTCTCACCTATTAGTTACTTAATTAAAATCATAGGTGTGAAAAAAATTTAATTTTTTGGTCCTTGGCATATTTGCAGGGCAAAGATCAAGAGATTAGGCATTGCTTTGCAAAAATTTTAGTGCACATTAATTTCACGTGTTGTCGTTCCTTTTCAGTTATTCTGAATTCACTGTTTCTGCAGAAACATTTTTTAATTTTTTTCCATGATTTTCTTTGTGTGTAGAGGGGGAAAACCCAGCAGTGCTCATGCTCTGTGCTCGGAAATCACTCTTGGCAGTGCTCAGGGTACCATAGGGAGTGCTGGAGATGGAAGCTGGGTCAGCCACCTGCAAGGCGAGTAAGTGCCTTACTGGCTGTCTATCTCTCTGGTCTCCATAGATACTAGATTTTAAAGAGGAATGAAGTATTGAAAACACTGAGCAACTAATTGGTATTTTTAACTGTCCTCTCGGAGGGTGCAGGGGATGCTTCCATCAATTTAAGGGTGCTTTTTGCAAATGAATGTCATGCTTTTTGGGCCCTGTAGTGTGGTTAACCACCCAGGTCTCCTAGTGGTGGTCAGGACCTCTAGGGCTATTCCAGGTGATGCTTAGAGGACACTGTTGTGACCAGGAACTGAACCAGGGTCAGCTGCATGCACCCTAACCCCTTTATGACTCCGATTCTTCCTCATTGTTTTGTTTTGTTCTGGGGCTACATCCCCATGGTGTTCAGGACTTATTTCTGGCTCTGCACACAGGAATTACTTGGGGTTCCGGGGACCATATGGGGTGCCAGTGATTAAACCTGGGTTGGCCAAGTGCAAGGCAAGCACACTGCCTGCTTTACTATCACTCTGTCCCTCCTCATTCATCATTGACCTTGAAAAATCATTTTTGTATCTCTCCATTCAGAGAATACTATCTCTAGGAAAGTGATTCCCACAACTTCTTTTGATCTAAGAATAAATAATAGTCATTCACAAGGAAGCAAATCTAAATTTGCTTTGATCAAATCCATACAGAGTCATCCTTATGCTTTTTGGCCACACCCGGTAATGCTCAGGGTTTACTCCTGGCTTTGTGATCTTGGATCACCCCTGGTTGGGTTTGAGGTAACATATGCGACATATGGTGCCGAGGATTGAATCCAGGTCGACCCATGGGAAGCAAGTGCCCTTTCCACTATATTATCTCTCCAGCCTACGACATTCAGGTATTTTTCAGAGCATATTAATGCATTCTTTTTGGGGTCACACCCGGCAATGCTCAGGGGTTACTCCTGGCTCATTCACTCAGGAATTACTCCTGGTAGTGCTCGGGGGACCATATGGGATGCTGGGAATCGAACCTGGGTCGGCCGTGTACAAGGCAAACACCATACCCACTGTGTTATCGCTCCAACCCCTATTAATGCCTTCTTATTGGTTACTGGTAATGCTACTATTATTTTGTTCAGTGATTATTTTACTTCTCTGTGTGAGTTTTAATTTTCAAGTTCTTTAATTACCGTCATAGTTATTATTATGTGTGGATTAGTGTTTAAAAATTACTTAGGAAGGAAGCATAATTTAGTATAGTAAAAAGAGATTAGGAACTATACCTGGGGGGGCGGGTGTCTAGCTCCAAATTGCCTTTTTTTGTACTCCAGAAGGAAATAGAATCTCTTTATCTAGTGTTTCTTTATGCAGCTCTCTTGTGTTTGTGCCATCAAAATTATTAGTAGTAATAACTAATATTTATTGCATAATTTGCATGTCAGTTACTCTGCTAGGTATGCATGCACTTTTCTCATCTTAATTTCAGAAGATGCCATGTAGTATATCAGCTTATTGGCTCAGTAGCATATGAAAAAG